GTCAGGAGTTCGAGACCAGCCTGAGCAAGAGCGAGACCCCCGTCTCTACTAAAAAATAGAAAGAAATGATCTGGACAACTAAAAATATATATATATATATATATATAAAAAATTAGCCAGACATGGTAGTGCATACCTGTAGTCCCAGCTACTTGGGAGGCTGAGGCAGAAGGATTGCTTGAGCCCAGGAGTTTGAGGTTGCTGTGAGCTAGACTGACGCCACAGCACTCGCTCTAGCCCGGGCAACAAAGCGAGACTCTGTCTCAAAAAAAAATAGCCTTAAAATAGCTATTCTGTTAATAGATAATTGGAGAATTTATCTTAAGAAAATAAAATTAGGTATCTTATTGTTTTCACCCTACTGAATCAAAATAAGGACCAGAATTTATTCAAGATATGAATTATTATCATTAAAGAGATTTCAGTAAAAAGTTGTTACATCGTCATGCACTGTATAGATCATTGAAAATTGTTTTTAGGCTAGGTATGGTGGGTCATGACTATAATCCCAGCACTTTGGGATGCCAAGGTGGGAGGATGACTTGAGGCCAGGAGTTTGAGACCAGCCTGGGAAACATAGCGAGACCCTATGTCTACAAAAAATTTAAAAATTAGCCAAGCATGGTGGTGCATGCCTATAGTCCTAGCTACTTAGGAGCTGAAGTGGGAGGATTGCTTAAGCCCAGGAGTTCAAGGTTACCAAGAGCCATGATCTCACCACTGCACTCTAGCCTGGGCAGCAGAGCAAGTCACCAGCTCTTAAAAAAAGAAAAGAAGAAGAAAGAAAAAGAAAAACAAAATGTTTGTTAATGTTCTTGTTTACCTGGATCTTACTGATAGAACATGGAAGAGAGTCTAGCAAAACTATGGCCTGGTACATATTTGATTAAATTTTGACTTCATCTAATGAAGAAAAGGATGAGCAAAACTCTAAAATCCTAGCTTTTCCAGTAAGACTGTTAAAAAAGAAAAGACAAAAAAAATCCTAGCTTGATTTCTTGAAAGTTAATTGAGATACTTCTTTTTGACCTTCTGCTAATAAAGTATGAAGGCTAAATATCATTCTTCACTTATTTTATATTTTTCAGTCTATAAATCTTCTATCGTGACACTTAAAAGTCAAATAACCATCATTATGTTGCTTTAGCATGGTGTTCTAAGAGATTCCCTGCTTTCTCTGTCTTGTTACTCATAGACCCATTTCCTATTTTGTTTCTTTTTTTTTTTTTTCCTCATCTGTAACAGTTTTTGGATGAAGACTTGAAGGTAGCTGGGAAATACAAAGGAAATGATTATAGCCAGTACTCTCCCTGGTCATGTGACACCATCGGCTCCTACATTGGAACCAAAGATGCAAAACCAAAAGATGTTGTGGCAGCAGGGAGTGTGGAAATGATGGTATGTGTGATAGCTAAGCAATAATTAATGTAAATCAAGATAAACCAAATACATTTTCACCCATAACAATTTAGGCTTAAATAATTGAGCTTTCCTTAAGAGTTTCAGACCATATTCTATACTCTGCAATTGAATTATATTTATATAGTTTTTGTTTTGTTCAGGTATAAATAAAAATCTTTTAATACTTATCTAGACAAAGAGCATTTATTACTTTTCTGTGCAAGTAGCAATTTCCCAATAATTGTTCAGGACCCAAATTATTTTATGTAATTAATCAAGATCTTGGATTTCTTCAACAAATAAGTGAAAATTCTTTTTCACAACTCTAAAGTTTAAACAATAAGGTTGGATCTAGTGACCAAGAGTAGTGGTTGAGTCAGAATTATGCTGCTTAGCTTCAAGTAAACTGTGAAATGCTACAGTTTATTATACTTGGGTTATTGTGTTTTTCAGTGAAAGATAATGTAACACCAATGTATCTAATAACCAAGCTTAAAATATATCAATATTTTGTCTTAATTCCTTTTTTATTTTTTAAAGAAATAAAACTTTCCAGAAATGGTTAAATCCCCCTGTGTATACCTCTCTAATCTCATTTTTCTTCCTCTTTCCTTCCCTCTCAGTATCCTTCATCCTGAGTTTAGTAGTTAGCATTTTCATGGATAATTTTATACTAGAATGTTATTTTGTATGTTTGTAGACTTTATATAAATATATACTTCAACTTGTATTTTCACTCAGCATTGTTTTTGATATGTGTCCATATTTATACCTTAGTTGAGGTTCATTCATTTTAACTGCTTTTATTAGATATTATATGATAACTGATATCATAAAATAAGTATATATAAATACATATATAATCTATAAAAAATTACTCATTTTCATGTTGATGCACATTTAGGCTGTTTTTGATCTTTCATTATTATGCACAGTGCCCAGTGAACATGCTTATGTATGTCTCCTTGTGCACACACGTGAAAGTTATGCTTAGAAATGGTATTGCTGGGTTTAAAGGTATGCCTTGACTATTATTCTTAACCTATTTGCTCTTATTAACTCTAAGGTTATAAGGTCTAAAGGTTTCCTAGGTTATTATATAGTTTTTCATAGATAAATACTTGTTCAACTGGTTAATACCAATATTTGGTAATAGGAGAGAAGACTTGGATACTGATACACTGTAAATGAGTGAAGCGATATCTATAGCATAAATATGATTAGATGCTGGCCAAAAAAAGAGAGGGTTATAGAGGAGGAAAAGGCAAAATAAGCCTTTACTTTTGGCTTAATGTGAGGTAACTTCATTTTTAGGTCATAGTAAGCCTCTTGCTGGAATGAGATGAGTAGGGGAGTTAGGCAGGATGACTTGCTTTGTTACTTGGCTTTCAGCAAAGGTTATTATACTAAAGTAACATAAGTATTAGCAAGATAAAACTCATTTCCTTAAGTCAGTAAAAAATAAAAAAGTTTGCAATTTAATCTAGAAGTAATTGAAAAATCTCTCCAAATAGGTAGGAGAAGTCTGACCTAGTGCTTCTCAAACATTAACGTGCACACAAATTACCTAGGGGTCTCTGTGTATATTTGTACAACATTATATATATGTGTGTATATATATATATATAACATTATATATAATGCATAGAGCAATAAATATATATTTTGTATATATGCAATGGGTCATGATATAAAATTTAATTCTTACTGTGGTGAGTGGTCAAATGTTTTAAAAACAATGTTTTATATAGCAACCAAAGGCAATTAATGATTTTAGTCTTATCAATAAGAACATTATATTCTTGTGTAACCTTATTACAGAGTTAGAAGAGATTATGTTAGAGATCTGAGTGTGGGGTGGATTTCTCATTTTGCTTTTTTATCAGAATGTGGAGAGTAAAGGAATGAGAGACCAGAGATTGGATCTTCAGAGAAGAGCAGCAGAAACCAGTGATGATGACCTCATCCCATTTGGAGACCGACCAACAGTATCTCGGTTTGGTGCCATCTCTCGAACTTCCAAAACAATGTATCAGGGTGCTGGCCCAATTCAGGCTATGGCACCTCAGGGAGCTCCCACAAAATCTGTTAACATTTCGGGTAAGAATCTCAGAGGTAAGCTGATACAGAGCGTTCTTATTCATTACTCCCAGGATTACCCTACTACCCATTTACTATCAGTGCTTTCCATAATCTTCCAAGGAAGCAATTTTCAAACTTTCCATGGAATTATTTCTTTAAGAAAGGTAATTCTAGGTGTATAAACTAAAATTAAATGTCTGCATATAAAGATTGCCCATGTTCCTCCTTTTTTTCCAAATAGCTTGATTGCTGTTATTAAAAATTCTTATTATAAAAAATTCAAACAGAAGAAAAAAAAATACAAAGACTGAAGATTTGCTGGAAAAGAAACTACAAATATCAGCACACTGTTACCATTTTGGTAGATAATCATCTTTCAGACAGCTGTGTGCATAATATGCCTATGCCTTTTATAATGAGTACCTTAAAAGAAGAATCAAGCTTATGAATTATATCATACCACAATAAATCATTTTCTTAACAGATTATAGTCCATATGGAACCCATGGTGGCTGGGGAGGTTCTCCATATTCACCTCATCAAAACATACCTTCTCAGGGACACTTCAGTGAGAGGTATGAGTCATTCTTTTCACTTGTACAAATATGTAAAAACCTTTAAAATGATTCACATTTTCTTATTTTGTTTTTCTGGTCGGTAATATTTTAACAAAATAAAACTTCAAAATTTACTCCATGCTTTTTTTCTCACCAAAGGGAGAGAATATCCATGTCTGAAGTGGCCAGTCATGGAAAACCCCTTCCATCTGCTGAGCGAGAGCAGCTACGACTGGAATTGCAGCAGCTGAACCACCAGATTAGTCAGCAGACCCAGCTACGTGGACTAGAGGTACCAGCATATAGATACTTTTTTATTCCCATTTTTGAAGGGTTCTCAGAGATTTTAAACGAGGAACTTTTGAGATACTGTGAACATAAAACTTTAAGGTCTATTTCTTAGGAGTTAGTGTAGGTGTTCATTCTTCAAAGAATGTACTGGGTTCAGTTCTGGGACAATAGAAAACTTAGAATTTCTCCTATCTGAGAATAGAAAACAGATTATATAAAGTTTCCCAGTAGGAGCTTACATTCCTGTGTGACACATTTAAGTTTAAGGTCAATAAAGGCTTTTAGCTCTAGGATTTTTTAAAAATTTCTTTTATTTCCTTTAATCCTTAGCTTTTATGAATCTTTGAAAAGTAGAAGCTTTGAACTTTGACTTAAAAAAAAAAGTCCCTGTGTAATAAGCATAATAATAAGACCTTTCATTGCCCCTGATAGGTAGGTTAGGCAGGTGGTATTGTCTACCTCTTTTGATTGAAGGTTATAAGTTTTAGAAAACATAATTAAAGAATTTTTAAAATCCCCTAAGTGTCACATAAGGAAGACCAGATTTTTTTTATATTATTCTATACATTGGAACATATTCTTTGAATATGGACACCTAAAGACATTTAGTGGTAAATACATTGCTCCTTTCTAGAGGAAGAAATGGTACTATTAGAACATTAATCTTTATCTTCCTATCATAATCTTTAATAATAAGTCAGGCATTGCTTTGGGGAAAAAATTCATAACTAATTTTATCTTAGACTTTCTTATTAGAAAGACCAGTAGGAGATTGTTTTTGGAACACATATGGCTTGTGCTCCTATGTAAGCAATTAGGTTTAGAAATTTTTAAAAATCTATATAATGTTTATATTTTGTCTACTTTTGCCATTGCTTTATTTAAATTGGTTCAATGTGTCTTGATTCCTACCCTAAAAACCAAATGCTGTGCTTGCTTATGTTAATCTTTATTTCGTTAACTTTTTTAAGATTTAGACCTTCAACCCTGTAAGGCATTATTACCCTTTGTCCTCAAATTCACAGCTTTTTGTCTTAAAGTTTCTATTTTCTGTCCAAAAAGAATGTCAGTATTATTTGGAAGCTTGCCACATACTTAACTCACTATAGTTAAAAGTCCCTGCCACTACTGAGGTTTCATTGAAATAAATTATAGGAATTACTTCAGAGAAAATTAACAATAAAAAAAGAGGGGGAAATATGCACACTTTTAGTAGACTTCGCCTTCAAATAAGAAAATAAAAAGAGCAATTTATACCAAAGATGAAATTACTATTCACTAAATTTAAATCCCCTATGTTTTGCTTTTTTTTTTTTTTTTTTATTTAAATGGTACTCAGAGAAACAAATGGTGCCTTACAGTTGCGTTATTTTTATTGCACATACCTGGGTGATAAGCTGCTTGAGGCAGGGTTCTAGAATTGGGCCTGGTTATTCTAGACATGGTGTGAAGTCTGTTGAGTTGTGTATGTGCTTGGCTTTATGCACTAGGCCGTTAGTAACAGGCTGGTGTTGCAGAGGGAGGCAAACACCCTGGCAGGCCAGCCACAGCCCCCACCACCACCTCCAAAATGGCCTGGAATGATCTCAAGTGAGCAGTTGAGCTTGGAACTGCACCAAGTGGAAAGGGAAATCGGGAAGAGAACCCGGGAACTGAGTCTGGTGAGTGTTACAGTGGGAAAAGAGGGGGAAGGTGAAGTCTTTCATGTGGCAGTGTCACAGAATGCATGGCTCTAGAGTTCTAAAATTATCTAGAGCTTGTGGAGTCATCACTCCAAGTCACTGATGAGTGATTAACATTTAGAATAATTCTCATGAAGATGAGCTACCTCAGTAGTTATCTTTCCTCTCCTCATTCTCATTTGGGTTGGGTGTGTTCTTAGGATTCTTCATTAACTTGTAAGGAAAACAAGGTAGTTAATGGAAGTTCTTAAATTTCTGTTTATCATACTGATTAGGGAAGCAGATGGGATAGTGTTTACTATGTAAAGATCTAATAACATTCTGGTTTTTGTAGCCTTTAAGTTATTGATGACCTATTTTTTGTTATGAGTGATACACAGTCTGCACATTCTTCCCTATGGAACTGTATCCATGAATATACTTGGGATTTGCTTCATAGTGCACAAACATTCATTTCACTAAAAAAATTTTTTTTTTTTGGAGACAGAATTTCGATCTGTCACCCTAGCTAGAGCGCAGTGGCGTCCTCATAGCTCACTGCAACTTCAGACTCTTGGGCTCAAGTTATCCTCTTGCCTCAGCCTCCCAGAGTGCCAGGATTACAGGCGTGAGCCACCTCGCCGGGCCCATTTTGAATTTTGAATCTTAAGTGATTAAGCCTTTCCCTTGGGTTGCTTGGTATTTTATTGTTTTGTTGCGTAGTTTTTACACTTTTTCTAAGCAAATAAATAGGGAAGTGGTTTTTCCACTTACTGTACTTCAGCTTGCTTTTTCTAAGTCATTGGTGTTTTAGGTTTGGTTCTGTTTTTTTCCCCTAAGTTACTGATTTTTCCTGTGAGATTTTTCCATGTTAGCTTTTGAGGCATTCTTCCCCTTATTCTTCAGTTTGGTTAGTCAACAAGTGGGTTGCACTCTGTTATGTTTTTGTGTATTTTTCTCTTAGTCTGCCTGTTTCTTTGGCCATTTTACAAAAACTAAGTATGATTTCTGGATCATCAGTTTGTTTGTATTATCTGTATTTGCTCTCCCATTAGCACCGTTAAATAGATAACTGGTTTTATTTCGTTCTCTTTCAAAGGAGAACCAGTGTTCTCTGGACGTGAAAAGCAAATTGAATACAAGTAAGCAAGCAGAGAATGGACAACCAGAACCACAAAACAAAGTTCCAGCTGAGGACCTTACATTGACATTCAGGTAAAGAAAAGGACATTTTCATAGTCTTAAGGAACTACACTTAAAATTGTCTGGTCATACCGGAAATACCCTTG